CTTTGTTCAACAAAGATAATTTTGTTTCTGAGATGTTTACACTTGTTCTTCCATGACTGTGTGTTAATTTGTTCCCAAGACTAAGTATAAGTGATGATTTCTACATGGTTAAAGATATATATATCCTTTTCTAACTTAAAACAGATAAATACAGAGACTGTGTGTCAGCTGCTTTTATGAACAGAAAACAGTTTAGTCAGTAAACTGTTTAACGTTGCGTGGATAATGAAGGCAGGCTGTAAGTAACACAGGACAAAAATCAAATGTCTCATACGTAGACTTGTCTCCTCAGCTTTTTTAAGAGTTTATAGGTCATGGTGGTAGAACATCAAGTTCAAATTTTGGTTAATTATTGTCCAAAAGTAAAAGTTCCCCTGAAACGAGGTGTAAACATTAAACAAATGCTTGAATTAGGTCAAAATTGCTGACAGTGAACAAATATTATTTTGCATATCTTTGCTTTTTTTTGTTTTTTAATGTTTCTGTTTATTTACGTCAAAGTTGTCTGAGTCATTCATAATCCATCTCCTCAGGTTCTGATTTTTCATCATTAAATAAAGCAGCTAAACCACAACAACCACATTAGCATCAAGCTACCATAAAACCTCAGAGCCATAAATGACTGCAGAGCTGCTTTATTTGTATCCCTCTGCAGGTCCTGGGGTGTCTGCTCAGAAAGCAGGTTAGTTTGGGTTCAGAGAGAGTGCAAACAAACCGGGGCTCGTAAAAACAATAATGGAGCTAATGCTATATCCCCAGAGGGATTCTTTGTGATGAAGTGCTGTGATCAATTAAGATAAATCAAAATAAAATCATTTAAGGCTAAGATTAAATATACTGAATGAGGAGATATTTGGGGCTAAATGAGTGATGTAAAGACAAAAAGAGGATTTTTTTCCTGCAGTTTGTTATATCTTGACCAAACAGAAATAATAAACGAGCCATCAGTTGGAAATTTGACCTTTTCATGTTAAACATATGTGCGTCAGTTGAAAGCTGTCAGAGAATCCAGATTGTGAAAATGGCTTGTTTTTTTTTTAAACTATGGTTTCTTTGTTAAAACCACAAAATACAAGAGCGAGCTTTCAACAAAGTGCGATTTTGGTCCTGCTGATTGATTAACGTTATTTTTGGTAGGTTCCTAACATTAGCCCTCCTTGCTACCACCACCTCTGTCTCTATTCCGCCAATCAGAGACTCACTTGCAGGCAGTGGGTTTTGCTGATTCGTCTTTACCTATTGTGTAAGACAGGGGGTGTGTTCGATTTCAGAGGCTGCATCCTCCAAGGACCCGGTCTATCTGGACTGGATCCTTTGAGGTCCTTGAAAAAAAGGAGGCCGGAGATGTTTTGACTATTGATTCAAACAGGTCCAGCCTTTAAAGGAAAAGTCCGGTCATATTCAGAATTCAAACTTCTGAAAGTATTTTAAACGTGGAATTTTTACATACTGTTCAATAAATGATAAGTGTTTTTATTTAGGTTTTTATCTCCATGTTCGTCAAAGAACATTACTGCCACCTACTGCTTTGTGACGTCACGGTGCGGTATCGGCTGTTGAGCAAGCCCCAGTGCTGTATCTGGTGTTTGTCACAACGTGCTATTATCCAAGTCACAGTGTTTTTGTTTTTTTCTCTGGCAAGAAGTTAAATGGCAAATCCTTCCTCTTTAAGTTCGTAATCCAACAACAAACCCGTCC